CTGACCCGGTCCAGCGGGAAGGCGATCTTCACCAAGGTCCACCTCCCCGTCGAGCTGCTCTGCTCCAAAGTGGAGGGGATGTTCGTGAAGCTGCCGCTGAAGACGAGGGCGAGGCCCAGGGAGCGGGGGCGCGTCGGGTGGCTCCCAAGGCACCCGCTTCCGTGTCCGCAGCACGTCAAGGCCGTCTTCAAGACTGCCGACTACCACAAGTACGATCGTTACTGGTCCCGTGAACTATAATCTGCAGGTTCTGAGGGCTTCCTTCGAAGTGGATTCGCTGCACGATGGAATCTTTAATAGCGATTGTTCTGAGAGTCTTCGTTTTATTTTAATGTAATTAATTATTTAATTTTTTTGGTTTCACGATAGGTTCCTGAACAGTGAGAAGGAAGACGGGATCTTCCCACGGAGACTAAGGCAGATGGTGGCCTACGAGGTGTTGCAGGAGACGCGCTTCTCGGAGGAGGATGGAACCGTGGTCCAGAGCCTTGCGAGGCTTCTCTCCAAGCGAGTCTATTCCGAGGCCTTCCCCCTTCACGAGGTCATTTTCTGTTCTCGAATCAGCTGTTTTTGTGGCACTTTTTCGGTCGTTCGGACGAGGGGTCTTACGTAAGCGGGTGGTGGACAGGGTGATGCGATTTCCCAGATCATCTAAATCTTGTTTACTTCCGGCCTTCACTCATCTCACATCGAGAGTACATCGTTTCCAGTCTCTCCTTTAAAAGTGTGGACAAAGTGAATGCTCAAGAGGGAAATTTTTCGAGAGAATCAACTTTAGTCAATGGTGGAGAAGGAATCGTAGAAGGAAAAGCAAGACCAAAGGTAAACGGGAAGTTCGCCAAGCAATCCAATATCCGTTATTCTGTAAGTGCATCTGCAATTGCAGGATATATTGAAAGAATGCTGTAACTAAACAAGGAATAAGTCGCATATTGTGTGGGGACGATGTAATGCAAATGGAGTAAGGAGGAACGTCGAGACTTTCTATATTCTTTCTTCTTACTTTCGGTTTCGCGTAAAATTCTTTTGTCTGGCGATGACCTGATTTCCCTATCAGGTCAGAGACTTCCTCGATCCGACAGTTCCCAAGCACGAAGTGGTTCATTCCGTCATTTTCAAGTTTGTATTTCGCAACAGGGAGGGTATCAGATCCCACCGACGCTGCAGTCCATCCCGTTGGAAGAGGAGCTGAGGCTGCTCACGCCCAGGCAACTTTTGGACAAATACTGGGCTTCGTGGTCTTCCATGCGATTTTCTCAGCCCATAGACCACATCAGGGATTACTTTGGAGAGCATGTTGCCCTCTATTTCGCCTTTCTAGGTGATTGAATGTTCGGTAACCTGGGGTGAAAATGGTGGGGAGGTGGTTTTTTATTATATATATATTTATAACAGGACTGTACACGCTGTACCTGTTCCCGATGGCGCTGATCGGCGTGGTGTTCTTCCTGGTTGGGTTCGGAGCATTCGGGGCGCGGGACCCCGTCGTCCACAGCGTCTGCGACTCGGGAAGGGCGTATAGGATGTGTCCGCAGTGCGAGACGTGTGGGTACTGGTATGCGTCGGAGCTGTGCAACCACTATTGGTGGTCGGTGGTGGGGGATAACAGGCTCTCGATGGTCTATTGCGTTCTCATGGTTCTGTGGGGTGAGTCTTCCAAAATGTGAAAATGGAAAAAACTATGAGAATTCGTGCAAAGTTGGATACTTATTTGGCAATCGCTCCATCGTTGCTGATGTAAATATCTGAGGGCCCAAGAACTATGACCTTGATCCTTGTGTGGGAGAAATGCGAGGATTGAATTGCAGCCATAGCTTTCCTGGAGATGTGGAAGCGATACGAAATGGAGCTGGCTCATCGGTGGGGGACTCAAGCCTTCATCGCTCCCACAGATCGACTTTCGGACGGGTTTCGAGCCATGGCCACGGAGCAGCGCAGGGACCCCATCACTGGTATTTCATATCGTATTTCATATTTTTACAATAAATTATCGCCCATCCGACCGGCAGCCATCTGATGGCATTGAGCACCTCGTAGCATGGTATCATGTGAAACAGAGGATCTCTAGACTTGTTTCGATCTCCATCATAAATCAATAATAAACTGTCTGGCAAATTGAAAGGTACCGCTTTAAAGAGATCCGGGTTGAATTTTGGCGTTTAATTCTGTTCCACTCTCGTGTGACGCAATGAAAAGAGTAACATGCTCATCGAACACAAGTAGAACGATTCGTTTGATTCAACAGGAGAGATGCAACCGTATTTCGACGGCCAGAAACGGGTCATCAGAGTTGTGACCTCCGCGTTCGCCCTCGTGGGAATGGTGGGTCGACATCGTCACGCCCTCGTCATGCCCTCGAGGGAGGCTGATTCGGTGGTTGCAGGTGGCGGTGCTGGTGGCGGGGAACGTGGGGGTGGTGCTCGCGAGGGTGGTGCTCACGGGGGAGATGGAGAAGGCGGGGGCCGCGCCGGAGTTGGTGGCGTATGTCCCGACGTTGATCGGGGCGGTCGTGTCCTTCGTCTTCGTCAAGGTCATGGAGTATCTCTTTGATATGGCTGCGGATTATCTCAACGCGAGAGGTGCTTGC